ACTTCCGAGCATTCTGAGAAGGCTTTCTCTTTCTCTTTTCCGCCCCTCGCTCGCCGCCGAACTGTAGAATCGTTCACAGGGTGTTGCGTAATTGTTGGGTGGTTTTCTGATGTTTGATCGTAGCTTGGGGGTCTCCCTCCCCCAGTCTGAAAAGTAGGCCACAGCTATATCCAGGGTGCCATGCAGCCCTTTCTATGAGCTGGGGGTTAGCATGGCAGTGCGGCGGTTCTATAATCCGTTGCGCCCTGTTATCCACTGTTGAAAGACTGCATTGTACAACCAACAGGTCAAATCACATTCGTTATGGTAGGTGTGCTCTTTTCTTGGGGATCTGCCACTTCGCGAGCGATATACGCAGTGTGTGCGCGGCGTCACCCGTAGAACCTACCGCAGACGCGGTGACAGCCCAATTCAATGGAAGAGAACGCGGGAAGAAGGAGATAGAGTTGGAGTAGGTGGGCGACGATGCGAGTATGAGGAGGCGGGGAGGGAGGACGAGGGAGGATGCCGAGGAAGAGGAGGAGGAGGAGGAGGAGAAGGAGGAGGAGGAGGCGGGAAGGTAGTGACAAAACGAGGAAGAGGAAGAGGAGAAGGAGGAGGAGGAGGAGGAGGAGGAGGAGGAGGAGGGAGGATAATGGTGAGACAAAACACCCTACATGGGCCTTTCTTGGGGCCCTCTTGGGCGTCTTGGAGGCCTCTTGGGCCGTCTGGGAGGCCGTCTTGGAGCGTTCTTGGAGACCTCGTCGGATCTTTGTAAGTCGTTTTTCAAGGTGGGCCATCTTGAAGCAATCTCAAGATTTATTGGAACCGTCTTGGACGAGCTCAAAACCAGAGAGGCTGCAATACCAGAAACATGCAGGAACTTAAGGGATCTTAAGGGATTTGTGATGATGTTGGCCTCTTGGGGCGCTCTTGGGCGTCCCCTTGAGGCTCTGTAGTGCCGTTTGGGAGGCTCCTTGGACTATCTCGAGGCCATCTTGAGCCGTCTTGGGTAGATCTATGGAACCATCTCGGAAGCCTGGGAAGGCCGTAGTTGGATATGTTAATTAAGGCCGTCTTGAAGACTGCAGGGGCCGTCTTGGAGCTCCAAAAAGAAGCCCAGGGAGCCCGGACTGGGGGGCCCTTCCATGCAAGATGCATAATGCTACGAATGTGTTTATGGTTATGCAAATTCGTCGTCGCTATGCCGCATCCGCCGTCGTCGTCGTGATCGGGAGGGGGCGGGGGCGTCTCGTCGTCGTCATCGCTGTCATCACGTCGCCGTCTTCTGCTCTCCCCGTTGCTCCCTCCTCCAGCGGGAGCCACGGGGCTCTGGGCGAGGCAGCTCGTCAGCTGGGGCGCGACGCTGCTGGCGTGGCCCGTGGCCGCGTCGACCGACCCCATGAGCGGCTTCTTCTGCACGAGCGAGCCTCGGGGAGGGGCCCACTCCGTCGGGCAGCCTGTTGCGGGGAGGAGTGAGCACAAGCCCAGGGAACTCCGCAGCTACGAGGAGCAGGAGGAGGCAGAAGCGGAGGAGGAGGAGGGGGAGGAGGAGGAGGAGGAGGAGGAGGAGGAGGAGGAGGAGGAGGAGGAGGAGGAGGACCTGGTCACCCACGGGGGCGCGAAGGTACCCGTGCCTCGCGCCCTGGGCCCCGAATGTGCCGTTTTCCCAGGCGGCGGCGCGAAGGCGTGAAGGTTTTACCACGCGTCGCGCATCGCGCGGCGCTCCAAGGTGCGAAGCTGGTTGAGAAGTGAAGTGCGACATGGAACAAATCAGAAAAACATAGGATGGACCTCAGTGGACCGTAGCACAAAGGCTACTTTCAGCACTTGCAAGACCTGGGTTCGGTCAAGTCGTCTGCACGAGATTTATCGCTTCCAAAGTTGGAAGTCAAGATTTAGGCACGAAACCTCGGGCGGCCCAGCAGGCCGGACACCGCGCGACGCGGCTGGCCTGGGCGAGAGCTGGATGCACACGTGGCCGCGTGTCCTTCCGGCACTCGGCCTCTCTGCGGCAGGGCGCGCCGGGCCTCCGCACGGGTGCCCAACGCACGGCCCCTTGGGGCGCCCGCGTGTGAATCCAGCCCTGCGCGTTGTCGGCTTCCCGGTGCAGGGGGGTCGAAGAAGAGAAGGCCACAGACCTAAACTTTTTGGCGCTCCGCGCGGATTCTTGGATCCGCGCCTGGGCCCCCCAGCGGCGCCTCCGGCGCCGCCCCTGGCGCGCTCCGCGCGCCAGGCAGGGGGGTCCCAAGAAATCCGCGCGGAGCGCCAAAAGCTCATGTTTATGATGTGGTGTTTGTTGATCTTCTAGGTGGAGTGGAGCGGGAGTGGGGCGTGTCTCGTAACGGGGGGCGGGCGATACATGGAGGCGTGGCTCCGGAGCCGCCGTGCCCGACATGCACCCCGAACGATGCGAAGAAATAGGGCGCACATTTCCGCCCGAGAAGAGTAAGGCGGATAGCGTGCGCAGAGGTATGGCAGAAGCAGCGACGGCAAAGCAGGGTGGGAATCGGCACCAAAGAGGAGCTTGACAGGGAGGGCGGAAAAAGTCCCGCCCTGACTGCGAAATTGGAGCTCGGCGGGTCCAGAGGCAGGGGGGCCCGAGGATTGCGGGAAGGGGGCCCCCGAAGGGTCCAAGGGGGCCCGGGGCCTTGTGGGAAGGGGCACGAAAAGTGTATGTTGCAGGGTGCACTTGGTTCCCCCCCGATTCAAGTCGATTCGAGGTCGATCGATTCCGACTCCGATTCCGCTTCGACTTCGGATTCTCTCAACGGAGGCCGTACTAGCCTTCCGATTTCCGCTCGGCTGCCGATCTCCGCCGACCCGCTTCATTTCGTTCGCGGATCCGACTAGTCGACGCAATCCTGGGCTCGCCTGCCTCTCTTCCAGCGGTCGACCCCAAATGGTGTTTGGGCGATGGCCGTTTTCGTGTCGGTGTAGTTTTGCAGCAAAATCCGGATAGATGACAAAACGAGAGAAAACGAAAACAAGACGAAAGAGAAAAACGTGGTTTAGCTCGAGCCCTGTTTTTTTCACCGCCCCACTTGTTGCGCCCCAGTTGGAGCGGCGCCCAGGGTAATTATAGCAGGTGGGCTGATCGGTGCAAGTCTTGGTCGGGCCTCCGACACCCGCGGGAGAGAGAAAGAGAGAGGATTGGATGGGAGGGGGAGGGTATTTACAGAGAGACAGTGAGGGAAAGGCATATGTATCTATACATTTAGTTTGTAACTACATAGTTGCGCAAGGAACTGGGCTGGCATTTCGCGCCATGCAACTTGGCCCTTCGAGCTTCGCACGCCGCTGCGCTGCGTTCGGCCAACCCCACACGACTTCTTGGGTTGCGTTCCGGCCAGGAGTCGAGGGAGAGAGAGAGAGAGAGAGAGAGAGAGAGGGCGAAGGAAAAACGAGGCAGGCGAGAGGAGGCGCTAGAGGAGGGGCAGGGAGGGGGAAGTCGCTGCTGGGAAAGGGAGAGGCATTTTGTCCACGCCGCGGCGGGGAGTTCCGTTCAGGACGCCGCCCAAGCCCAAGGGCGGCCCTTGCCCAGAAGCTGCGAAGTCGAAGGGGCAGCGGTCGGCGAGAGGCAGGGTCGACGGCCGAAGCCGCGGCGCGTGCTTCTCGTGAGCCGCTGGCGGGCAGCCTGCCAGCGAGCTCGGCCTCGCTGTCTTCCCCCGCCGTCACGTCGCTGTCGTCGTCGGTCTGCTCGTCTGGAGTGGCCGGGCCTTCGAGCTGGGCGAGCAGCCGGCTCTCCTCGCAGGAAGCGAGCTGCATCCCGCAGTCCGGAAGCGGCGCTCTGTCCGCCCACTCGAGCAGGAGCTCCAGCGCTGGGATCTTGGGGCGTTGAGTGGCCAGCCTGCGCCCCGCCGCCAAAGCTTTGGCGGGCTCGCCCGCGCCCTGCCGAAGCAGGGCGGACCACAGCTGGAGGCCGGCCGCGGTGTTGCTTCCGAGGGCGGCCACGTTGCGCGCGCGGCAGTTTTTTTTCCTGGCACCCACGCCGTGGTCCCGACGCGCTGCGCAAAGCACCCTGCGGGGCCCAGAGCCCGCCAAAACCACTTCCGGAACTGCGGCGCACCGGCCGTGGTCGACGCACCGCGTCGTGGGCTGGCGGAGGCGCAAGAAGTTTTTGGCCCGAGCTTGCCTCCAGCACGGTGGCGAGCTCGTCTGCCGAGGCTGCCAGCAGCTTGTCCACCATGCCGCCCAGGCGGTGGTGGAGCCCGGTCAGCGTTTCCCGGAATCGCCAGCTGTTCGCGGCGATCTCCTTGAGCTCCTTGACGGACTGTGGCATGTTGGGCCGTGAACGAGGGTGACCTCTCCAGGCCTTCTTGGGGGTCCTTTTGGGGGCCATCTGGGCCGTCTTGGGGTCCTTTTTGGCCGTGCTGGGGCCCTCTTGGGCCGTCTGGGTGGGCGAGGGCCTTCTGGAAGCTGTCTTGGGGCCATATTGGGCCCTCTTGGAAGCCTCCCATAGCTCTCGTGGGCCTCTCTTTCCCTTTCCCAGCATATTGTCCATACCGATTGTCCTGCACCATATAACTTACATCCTGTAGATACCACCCACCGCATCGCCGGCATTCCATACTTTACAGAATGTAGTTCCCACCACATAACTTACACCGACAAGGTTTCACCGCGCAGCTCACACCACATGGTTGGCACAACATAGCTCACATCACATAGGTTTGCCCGCAGAACTTTCACCGCTGGAGTTCCGCATATCACTGTTTGGGGTTTGCGATGGATCAGACGTTTGTGGGCCTTGTGCCGCTGGGAGCCGGTGGAAGCCGCCAGACTTCTGAAACCTTCGGGAGGTTTTGATTCGACGTCGGCCTGCAGGAGCCGCTGCAAACCAGAGGGCCTCATGGACACATCTCAGGGCAACAAAAACGACCCCCCCCGAACCAACTGTTCCTCCACGGCGGCCGGCTTGCGTTGCGTCGACGTGACGACGACCCCAGCGCGGGCGCTCGGAATGAACTCGGCCAGCGTTCACAATTCTGCCGGCGTGGAACGGAAATGTGCGATCGTTCACGGCTGCACGGTCTAAGCGGTGCCAAACATAGGCGCGCAGACCGTTGCGATACCAGCCGAGCAGGATCGCGCGGGGAGGACGCCAGGTGCAAACATACGCAAGGCTTGAGGGACCAAGGCTCATGGCGGGAAGCGCCAATGCAGTATGTATGTATGTATGTATGTATGTATGTATGTATGTATGTATGTATGTGTATATGTATATATACACAGCTATCTATGTAGACAGAAGGGGAGAGTGATGGGGGGGAGCGCGCGCTCGAGCGAGAGAGAGAGAGAGAACAAACAAAAAGCGACAGAGGGATTGAGGTACTGCGCCATGTTCTCTCCCTGTTCCTCCTCCTCCTCCCCCCTCCTCCTCCTCCTCCTTCTCCTCCTTCTCCTCTGGCTTCTCTTCTTTCTCCTGCTCCCTCCACCCCCTTCTTCCCCTCTCCGGAAACCCAGTCGGGAAACCCAGCCAGAAGAAATCCGGAAATTGTTGAACATGCTTGGCATCCTCCGAGATCTCATGGTGCCAACATCGCAGAGCGGATTTCGTTCGGAAAGCGATCGGATGGGCCCAGAGTGTCATGGAGAATTTCGTTCCGGATTTCGAGTTGAGTTTCGTGTGTTTTGGGGGGGGGCCAGGAATGAAGATTGAACAAACATCCACCTGAAATTCCTTCGTTTTCCACTCGCCGTTTCGGGGTTTCGCAGTGACAGAAATCCACGCAACTATCCGCTGCAGCACGTCTGCAGGGTCGGTGCAGTGAGAGATCCTGCAGAAACCTCCGAGGACCTCCGGAACCTCCTGCATTTCCCGCAGGAGCGGGACGGAGGAAGATGAGGAGCAGCAGGAGAGTGCAGGAGAGTGGAGAGAGGAGGAAGAGGAGGAGGAGGAGGAGGAGGAGGAGGAGGAGGAGGAGGAGGAGGAGGAGGATGGAGGAGGATATGAGGACGAGAGAGGAGAAGGATGAGAGGGGAGGAGGATGAGAGGGGAGAGTTGTGGGCAGAGGAGGCGGCGGAGGAGGAGGAGGAGGAGGAGGAGGAGGAGAAATAGAATTTCCCCCCTTTCTTCCGCTTCTTTTTCCGGTTCCCCCTACTCCCCGCCGCCCCACGGCAGGCAAACCGGTTTTGGGGCGCGCGGAGGGGCGCCTGAACTTGATCGGCTTCAAGATCGGCCTCGAAATCATGGAGGGGCCTGGGATACCAGAGGGGAAGAGGAACGTCCTCCTTATCATCCTCATCCTGCTTCTCCTCACCCTATCTCACCTTGATATATCCTCATTATCATCATCATCAGCAGCAGCAACATCAGCATCATCATCATCACCATCATCAGCATCATCAGCATCATCACAACCATCATCATAATCTTCATCATCAGAGTCGTCGTCGTCATCATTACCATCATCACCATCATCATCATCACCACCATCCGCATCGTCATCAGATTCAGCAGCAGCATCATCATGATATCGTCCTGCGTCTCATCGTCCCCTCTCGCCCTAATCTACCCTCATCATCATCAGCATCATCATCATCATCATCATCATCATCATCATCATCATCATCATCATCATCATCATCATCATCATCATCATCATTATCATCATCATCAGCAGCAGCAGCAGTATCAGCATCAACATTGGCATCTGCATCAGCATCATCAGCAGCAGCATCATAATCACCAGCATCATGATCATAATCAGCATCAGCAACCCTCTATGCGGATGAAGCCTTGGCGTGAGCGATGTTGGAAGCTGTCAGGTCAATGAAACGTCCATGATTGCAGCTGGGGCAACCCAATAGCAGGCAGGTCTAATGTTTGGAATGTTCCAGGGAGGCTCTGAGGTTTTCTGGTGGGCCACACTGGTTTCGTGAGTCTTGCTTGCTGGGGGGCCGCGGGGCCCCCCAGGTGTGCCTGGGAGGTCGCAGTGGGTCTGCGTGGGTGAACAGAAGGCTCTGGCGGGTTTGAGTGGGCTCCGTAGAGTTCTTTCTTCAGGAATAGTGGACCTTGGGGGATTTCTGGCAGGTTTCACTTCGGTCCGCGAGGGTATTCCCAGGGTTCTTGTTCTGGCAGCGGCTTGCTGGTCCTCTCCTCGGCATTGGGTACTCCCAGGTGTTTCTTACACGACGTATGGTGTTCGGTGGCAAGATTCTGGCGGCATGAAGAGCGACAGAATTTTTGCGGGGGACGTCAAGTCCACAGCGAAATTGCAACTTTCCGATGGCATGGCAGAGTTTCTGGTCGCCCTGGAAGGCGATCGGAAATTTGTTCTGATGACGTCGCGGCCAGAGTCCCATTTTCTGGTCAAATCCCTGTTTGTCTCCTGAACAAACAACTAAAATTGAGGATTGGGCACCGATTCCCGCATTGGCATCGAAGTCACCATTATCCTGGGACCCCGCTTCCTAATGGGAATCAAACAACATTGTTTGCGCGGTCTCCGCGGTCACCGCATTTCTAATCCAGGCGGTTGTAGTTTGCATCGGAGTGTCTTGTCTCGTCGGGCGCGA